TCTCTCTCTCTCTCTCTCTCTCTCTCTCTCTCTCTCTCTCTCTCTCTCTCTCTCTCTCTCTCTCTCTCTCTCTCTCTCTCTCTCTCGGGTAAAGTGCTGACATCATGGCCATAAGTTTGAATCTAATCACAAGAATTCATGATTGTCTTTGCAGATGGCTGGATTCTTCATCTTCAGCATTGTTTACCTATACAACAAGTGAAAATTAGACTCGTGAAGGAACAAACTGATCGATTGGAACACCATTTTTACCGTTTTGCCTTGCTCATTTTTGTCAGGATTTCTCTCACATTTACTCGGTTTTTAACTTAATAGATATGATTCCTGCATAAGTTGACTATGGCTGTAATTGGAACAGACAGTTTTGAATGGTAAAGAATTAGACAATTACAATTATGTCAAAAAAAGTTAGATAGTTTTCAGTATGAATATTATGTACAATATTGTTTCTCTCTCATGCTTGAATTTGTGAAGTTCAATGCAGACGAGACGACAACAATCCTGACTTACCCGAATGTTCTTTACAATTTTTTTACAGGCCGGGTTTTCTTTTTTTTTTTTTTTTTTTTTTCGGGTGGCGGTCGAGACTAGTTGCCAAAGTACCATCCACTGTCACGAATACGAAACTTGCTCTGCTTACGAAACATTTGTAGGATCTTTTCGAAATCTTACACTTCTAATTTGTAACTTTTTAGACAAAGTTAATCTACCAGTTTAAATTAAAAAAAAAAAAGATGAAAAAAAAGAAATGAAGCTTTGTTCTATCCAAGTGGTGGAAATTTGATAGCAATTAGTCGTTATATTTGATCTTCTGAAAGTTTGAAAGTTGACCAAGCGACTGAGTAACACTCTTAACTGGATGTTGAATGGAATTAAATTATTGAATTTTATTTTTCTTAAAATCATATCTGGTTGAATAGAAAATCAATGCAATAATACATCAATAATAAATTATTTAAAATGATTAAATATGGAAAATTAAGTGGTGAAAAATCTACCATAAAAATATGGGCATAAAAATTATGGGGGTGTCAAGTTCAACCTAGACACATGCAAACTCTATAAATTAAATGTATTTTACAATATGATCTACCTTTTGAATAAAATTATTTGTGAATATTTTCTTTTGTATTCTTCTTGAGAGTTCAAATCGCAATTGGAGTCTTCGTCGTTATCGATATTTGTGTTGCAACTACGTCGAGAAAAAAAAAGACGGTTATATCAAAAGAGACAATTGTTATTATATTATTTTAATAGAAAATAAAAAATAGTCGAATACTTCCTCGATTATTTTACTAAAATCATCGTTCGTTATTATACACCGGGAAACAACACTTAAGCAAGCAACTCCATGTTGCACCGCCGGTTATTACTGAAACCTATCCCGGAAATTTGGAATAAATAAAATAAATTATAATAATAATATGAGATTAAATTATAAACGGACTCTCCGTTAATAGGTGATAAACGGAGTCCATTAATTGAATGACACCTGTACAAACTCTCTGTTGATTTAAAATTTGTTGACCTTTGTCATGCTTCACATCTTAGTTTGCATTATTTATTTTTAATTAGCATAATTCTTAATAAAATATTTTTGTTGTGTACAACCATGGTTCTTTCACCCTACACCCAGTGATAAATACTGGCCGGTGAGTCTTTTGCTGTCACGTGTAATATTTAATTACTAATTATATATTCTTTTGCTGTCACGTGTAATATTTAATTACTAATTATATATTTTCCCATTTGGGTTAACCTCTAGGGGTTTTGGAAAAATACAAAAAAGACACGTGACAGCAGAAGACTCACACTTGAATATTTCGACTTAAATAAAACAATTATTTTCAAAAAAATTAAATAAAAGAATATTTAAAATTTTTGGTAATTGATAATCTAAGGAAATTAAATTTTTATCTCAAAAGAAAAAATAAGACACAAACAAAGAGAAAATATACAATTCACTACTTTCGCCAATGGATTTTAATTTTAAATTGGGTCCCATCAAGATTATTAACTAATATTTAATTTAATTTTCCACATGTCATTAAATAAGTGGCATCCGTTTCTCATCTATTAATGGGGAGTCCGTCCCAAATTCACACTACCTAACTATTAAGATGGTCCATAATTTCAACAATAGGAATTTGTTAGGCACATGTAATAATAATATTATAAGGTGAAATGTAAATATTATAGTTGAATACTAGTCATCTTTTAAATTGAAGACCAAAAATTGGAAATCGACCAAAATCAATTTTTTTTCTTCCCAAACCCTACTTCAACTCAACTAGTATTTCACCCGTGCGTTGCACGGAGGTCAGTTTCAAAATGAGAAAAATAAACTTACGACTATCTCTTTATAACAATACCAATTTAAGTAAAACAAAATGGAAGGAAATAAAAAACATAAACTTTATCTCTTAATTTGAGTTAACATAGAAATAAAGTAAAATT